GGCGGCGTCTGCGGCCGTCTGGAGGCCACCTTGGGCGTCTTGGAACGATCTTTCGGCGACTCAAGGCCCCTCGGATCGTCTCGGGGGCGTCTCGGCTCTCTTGGGGCGTTCCTGGGGCGCTCTGGGACCTGGAAGTCAGCGCTCTGGGACCTGCGACACTGAAATGCCCGCGCAGCCCCCAGTTGTGCCATCACCGTTTCTTATGTTGTGGGAGGGCGGGTGGGGATGGGCATGCCATGCTTGACTCGCTCGAGCTGGCTAGCTTGACCCCCACCCTAACACTGACCCAAACCCCAAACGGTAACTCTAACCCTAAACTCGAACCTCTGAGCCCTAACCTTTCCCCCTAACCCCTAGCCCCCAGCCCCGAACCCCTTTTATCACCCGCACCAAACCCTAAACCTCACCCTACGACCCTAATCCGAACACCCTGGCTCACGAAACTGGGCCCTACCACCGTAGCCTTATACCCTTGAGTTCTCCTGTCTAAAGAAAAAAAAAGGTTCCACCACCCTCCCCCCCCGGACTTGAATATTCACTTTTTTTGGTATTGCAATTTACATAGATTCTGACCCAATGTCCATCCTACCTGTGAGTTCGTACTATCCCAGCCAAGCCGGTATACCCCCGCCCCCCCTGCCATCCTCCGCAAACAATACTATGCTCGCACACTCGTTCGTCACAAATCATAAAGTTCTCCAGCATCCTTTGCAACACATGTGACAAAATTCACACGCGCGCGCCGTCGCGCGCGCACTCCGAAATCCTTCAAAAACATTGGGTTTCAAAAGGATTTCAACATTGAGTGTCCAAGAAACATAAAGAACACATGGTTTCGCAGCACGGATGTTCAACACAACCTTGCGCGCTCGATCTTGCGAATGCTTAAGAAAACCATATGTTTTTCAACATTTTCCAAACAAGTTACCACACGGTCTTCGCGCGCACGCGTGTCGAAATCGTTCGAACTCCTTTTGCGCGCGTGCTGGGGTGGCACGATTCGTGTTGAAGAATACCATGCGAGCCACTCTCGCGCGTCTGCCGCGCGCGCATTTCGAAATCCTTCCAAAACCTGTGTCGCCGACGCGAAGACGCCGTCATCGTCGCCGCCGTGATCAGCATCGGCGCCGTTACTGGCTGCCCCGTCGTCGCTGTTAGCATCGTCACTAGCATCGCTACCATCATCATCGTGTCTACCGTTGTCGACGTTGCCATGATACCGCGCCCGCCCAAGTCAAAATTCGCATTGAAGTGCCCGCTGGGATGTGCCGAGCGGTCAGCGCCATCGCGTTCGCGTCGGTCGCGCCCAACTAGTTGGCCGCTGCGCGCGCGAGGATGCGCGGGCTAGCGCGGCCGCAGAGACACACCAGCCAACACCAAACACTCATCGCAATCGCTTCCGCACAGGGTTTGCTATCAAAGTTGCGGGTGGGTGGGTGAGATGTTTGCGCGAGCAGTGGAGTGGACAATTTCACGCTGAGCGCTGGTGAATCCTAGCCTCTGAACTCACCCGAACCCTACTCCTACCAACCGAACCCTAACCTCACAACCCCGCACCCCCCGAACCCGAAATCGAATCGCCTAACCCTAACCCTAACCCTAGCCCTACCGCGACTCCCACTAACCCTTACCCCTGCAGCCCTAACTCCTACCCTAACACTCTGACCCGAACCCTACCATCCTATCCCGAATCTCATGGCACGAACCCTAACACCTGAAGCCTAGCCCTACCACCCCAACCCTAACGCCAATGCTTAAATGTACCACCCGAATCCGAACCTCCGAACCCAAACGCGGCCCGCTAACCCTAACCCTGATACACGAACCCCATACCGTAACCCGAACCCTACCACCCTGACCCTAACCCCCTGACGCTACCCTTATCTCCCGGACCTGAGCCTTACCACCCTCAATCTAACCCCCTAGCCCGAACCCTAACCCGAACACCCTCCTGACCCGAACCGCAGTTCGAACCCCCTTAATTTTAATTCCCCTAACCATAACCCCTTGACCCGAACCTCACCCTACCCCCTGAACCTACCACCCTAATCCTAACCCCCCCAACCCTAACTCTAACACCTTACCCGCGACTGAATCCCAACCCTTCCACACTAACCCTGACCCGAACCTTAACGTGAACACCCCTAACCCGAACTCTGCAACCCTAGCCCTCACCCCGTAGACCTGTCCTTGACACCCTGACACTGACGCCGTAGCCCGAACACCCAACGCCAAACTCTCTCATCCCATACCAACCACCCAAGTCCTGACCTTAGCCCCCTAGCGCCCTAACCCTAACCCCCTGGCCCCTGAACCCGACCCTCACCCCCTAATTTCTTAAACCCGTAACCTTCTTTCTAACCCTCACCCTATCCCAACGCTAACCTGACACCCTAAGCCTAATGCACTCCCTATAGTCGCCACCGCAACCCTAAACCTAACCCGGCCACCCTATCCCGAGGCCCCAGATTCCTTCACCCAAACCGTAACGCCCCAACCCTAAGCCCCTAGCCCTAACATTAGACACAACGCGAACCACCATCATACCATCTTAGCCCTAACCCCCATAAGCCCTTCACCCCCGAACCCGAACCCTAACCGCCTAACCCTGACCCCAACCCTAACCTGACACTTTCAACCCTAAACCCGTACCCCCAGTCCGTACCCGAACACCCTAACCCTAGCCCTATCACCCTAGCCCGAACCTCCACTACACGAACCCTAACACTCTGATCCTAACCCTCACACCCAACCCCCCGAACCCGAACCCTGAACCTACCACCCTAATCCTAAGCCCCTAACCCTAAACCTCACCCTCTAATCCTAACCCTAAGACCCTAACCCCAAGCGCCCCGAACCTAACACCCTAACCCTGACACCCTAACCCTTACACCCGAACCCTACCCCCCTGACGCTATCCCTGTCACCCTGACCTGACCCCTACCATCCAACCCCCGACCCCCTAACCCGAGCCCTAACCCGAACACCCGAATCCGAGCACCCTGACCCTAACACAACCAGAAACTCCTAATCATAACCCCCTGACCCTAACCCTAACCCTCCCCCCCCCGCCCTACCACCCGAACCCTAACCCCCGAACCCTAACCCCAACACCTTACCACTGGCCTTAATTCTAGCCCTACCAACCTAACCCTAACCCTCTAACCCTAACCCTGACCTGAACACCCGAATTAATCCTGAACCTATCACCCTAACCCTGACGCCCTAAACCTAACACCCTGACCCTAACACTCTCTCACCCCACCCACCCGAACCCTGACCCCCACTATCCCTGGCGCAACACAGGGAAGCGGGAGGAACTCCCCCAGCCCCCTCCCTTCCGGCGCAAAGGGCGGGGTCGACCCCCCCGCCTTTGAAAAAGGGGGGGGGGTCCGAAATCCCCGCCCCCCCCCTCTCAGGCGCAAAGGGGAGGAAGGGTGGGGTCCGAACCCCCAAACCCCCCTCCTTCTGAAAGTGGGGAACGGGGGGGGGTCCGACGACACCCCCCCCTTGAAGGGGGGGAGGGGGGGGGTCGCGTTAGCATTAAGTCGGGCATGCCCTTCTACAAGAAGAGTATGCCAGAATAGTCAAACATAGGAAGGCGACACTTTCCCGTGCTCTTGTTTAAAGCATAAGTATATGTCTGTCAAAATTCGCCTGTTGGAGAACATGTCCGAACTAAGGGTAGCACGAGACCCCTCTACAATTACGGGTTGCCCCCGTGGCGCGCTTTCGTCACATGTGGCGTTCCAATAATGGCCTTGCCATCGAGGGTCGAAGGAGCTGCCATCTCTTCCGCGGCGGACGGCGGCGGAAGGTCGGCGAAAGTAAAGCGAGGCCGCCTCTGCAGGCGGAAGGCTGGCGGAAGGTGGCGGAACTGATCGATGCGCCCCCAAGAGACGACAACGTTTTGTGGGTCGGGGTTTCCGAAATTCGTCAAATGGCGCCAGCAACGCCCCCGCAAAGGAGGAGGAGGAGGAGGCGGAGGAGGAGGAGGAGGAGGAGAAAGAGGAGGAGGAGGAGGAGGAGGGGGGGTGGTTTGAGGAGGTGGGAGTAAGCAGGAGGGAGTGAGAGAGTGAGGGTAAGGAGGAGGAGGAAGAGGAGAGGAGGAGGAGGAGGGGAGGAGGAGGAGGAGAGGAGAGCGGAAGAGGAGGAGGAGGAGGAGAGGGCGGAGGAGGAGGAAGAGGAGAGGAGGAGGAGAAGGGCTAGGCGGGGAGCGGGGGGAGGTTTGGGAGGTTGGAGGAGGATGAGGCGGCGCGGGACGGAGGCGAGAAGGAGGATGAGAAAGGAGGAGGCGAGGAGGAGGAGCAGGAGGAGAAGCAAAATGAGGAGGGAGGAGGAAAGGAGAAAGGAGGAGAGTTGGAGGAGGAGGAGGGAGGAGGAGGGAGGCGGGAGGAGGAGGCGGGATGAGGGAGGAGGAGAGGAGGAGGAACGCGAGGGGAGAAGGGGAGAAGAGAAGGAATGAGGAAGGAGGGAGAGGATGGGCGGATGGGAGGATGGAGGAGGGAGGCAAGGGAGGAGGGAGGGGGGGGGGATCGAGGGGAGGAGGGAGGGGGGAGGGGAGGAGGCGGGAGGAGGGAAGAAGGGTGAGGAGGGAGGAGGGAGGAGGGAGGAGGAAGGAGGAGAGGGGGACGAGGAGGATGAGAAACAAGAGGAGGGAGGGAGGAGGAGGAACAGGAGGGAGGAGGGGATGGAGGGAGGAGGGAAGGAGGAAGAGGGAGGGAAGGAGGGATGGGAGGAGGGAGGAGATGATGGAGAGGAAGGATGGAGGAGGGAGCAGGAGCGAATGAGGAAGGGAGAACGAGGAGGAGGAGGAGGAGGAGGAGGAGGTATGGAGAGGAGGATGGTGGAGAAAAGGAGGAGGGGAAGGAGGAGGTAGGAGGAGGTGGAGGAGGAGGAGGAGGAGGAGGAGGAGGGGAGGGGAGAAGGGGGGGAGGAGGAGGAGGAGGAGGAGGAGGAGGAGGCAGGAGGCCCCCGCGCCCCCCCCCGCCGCCCCCCAGCGCCGACGCCGAGCGCGAGCGGCGAAGCTCCGCGCCTGGCGCGCCGAGCGGCAGCCCGCACGTGGGCAGCGGGCCGAGGATTGGCGCGTCGCCTGCTGCAGTGGCGCAGTGGGAGAAGGGGAGACTTCCCCTAGGGGACGAGGAGGAGGAGGAGGAGGAGGAGGAGGAGGAGGAGAAGGAGGAGAAAGAGGAGGAGGAGGAGGACGAGGAGGAGGAGGGCGGGTGAGGAGGAGGAGGAGGGAAACAGGAGGAGAAGGAGGAGGAGGATGAGGAGGAGGGGAGGGTCGAGGAGGAGGAGGAGGAAGTCGAGGAGGAGGAGGAGGAGGAGGAGGAGGAGGAGGAGGGGACGAGCCCAGACCCCTCGCGTTGTGCAGAGATCACGGCGGGGAGTTTTTGCGAACGGGAGGGCCCAGCCCCTGCAAACGGGGGGCGTTAGTGAACGGGGTGGTAGCGATGGGGCCTCTTCGAGCGAGAACGAGGCGATAGGGCATTGACCTGGCACGAGTGCGTGACACATCGGGACTTCAAAAACGTTGATGCATCATCACAACTCTGGGCGAGTGGAGCACCTCGCACTTGTGCGCGGTAAATCAGTTTTCTGAAAGCACCACTGAAAACGCACTCATGGCTACCGGCCCGTTTACGCCCCGTTCACGCCCCGTTTCTGATGTGCTTGTCTTTGTCCGCTGAATCACTGCGACACCATGAGGTGGGAAACTAATTGCTTTTGCTAGCCTCGCTCGAGAAAGGTGCCACTCAGATGTGTGGGTCGGCCGCGAGCGAAGGGGGGAAAATGAGAAGGGCCCTCTCGGGCCCTTCTCATTTCCCCCTCGCGCCTTCTGAGAAGTTTTCTGTGTCTTCGGGGAAGGCCTAGAAAACTTTTCAGAAGGCCGGTGGAACTTCCAAGCCTTCTGAGAAGGCCCGCCCCGTCTCACTTCCCCTCCTGGGCGCGCCGTCTAAGACAGGTAAGGTGTTGTTTTCGCTAGCCTCGCTCGACAAAAGGGCCACTCGGAGATGTTAGAGCACCCGTGCCTGCGCCTGAGGCTTGAATATCAGAGGCTACGAAGCAGAGAGCGGCACCATCCATCTTCGGAAATGGGTATTTTTTTGCCCGGGTGGGTTTCGCCTGAGCGGGTTAACTATTCGCCGAGAGTGTATGTCGCCAAAAGGAGGGGGAGGGGGAGGACTCAGGGGGGAGGCACTGATCTCTGGCAGTGTGCTTTTGTTCTACCAAGATTTCGTTACCAGATTTCAGCTTTCGGCGGCCGTGTTCGGGCCCCGGGACCATCAAAACTTGACCCAGGGACGGGGTCGCGACTTCTCGGGCCGCGTAGCGAAAGAAACATACATACTCGGGCGGGCGTTGGTTTCGTCGGCAGCCACAGGGGGAGGAGCAGGAGGAGGAGGAGGAGGAGGAGGAGGCGGAGGAGGAGGAGGAGGAGGAGGAGGAGGAGGACGACGAGGAAGAGGCCAAGGCGGCGGAGGAGGTGAAGGAGGAGGAGGAGGAGGGGGGAAGAGGAAATACGAAGGAGACGGAGGAGGAGGAGCAGGAGGATGTGCAGGAAGCACGGAGGGGTATAAGGAGGAGAAGGAGGAGGAGGAGGAGGAGGAGGAGGAGAAAAATGAGAAAGAAAAGGAAGAGGAGGAGGAGGGGGGGAATAATCAGGGCGCTTCATTCAGTGGCATTGATCGGGGGGAAGACTCAGGCGGTAGTGCATCGACCCCATGGATCCCCGCCTCGTCTTGCTGTGCGTGTTATTTTTTTATTTATCATCGGAGAAAAGACATGCCTGGCACTTATCAACCTCTGGGGGGAGGCCGCCAGGCTTTGGGCTTCGTTGTTCTTGAGAACGCTGGGTGCGTTTGTGTTCCCTGTTTTCAGTTTTTTCGTGTTGCGGTTGACTAAACAAAAAAGGGCACCCCCAACCAGAACACAAACGACAACGGCCTGGCCCAAAACGAGCGAAAGACGGCAATCACAATCATAAACAATTATCCTGGCGAAGGACCCAACCAAATGCAGTTGTGAATACCGTCGTTGCGGGTATCGCCTTCTTTGGATATCCTCATATGGAGCCAATAAGCATGCGAAGGGTGTGCCGATGCGGGGCGGGACCGCAACGTGGGCGCTGCCACTCGGACCTTACGCGTAACCCACTATGGGGTGGGTGCGGTGGCGGCATGCGGGCGCAGCCACTTGCGCCTTCGACGGAGCTCCCTCTGGGGCCACGAAGCGTGTGAGCGGTGTGCCGAAATTGATTCGGCGGCGGCATGCGAGCGCAGCCACTAGGGCCTTCGGTGGAGCTCCCTCTGGGGGGCCCGGGAGAGGATGGAGGAGCGGGAGGAGGATGGAGGAGCGAGAGGAGGAGGAGGAGGAGGAGGAGGAGGAGGAGGAGGAGGAGGAGGAGGAGGAGGAGGAGGAGGAGCGGGAGGAGAAGGAGGAGGAGGAGGAGGAGGAGGAGGAGGAGGAGGAGAGGAGGAGACGAGAACGCGTGGCGCTCTCTCCTCCAAAAGAAGGACCCAACACCACAGGATGGTTGGGAACAACCCACAACATAATACAATTGACAGAAACGGAAAACATTAACCAATGGATGCAAACAAACATTTCTACAACGGATCGCAGAACGAATCGACAACGGCGAGACGGCAATCCCAAAACGGAGAAAGCACGGCCCAAAACACGGAAAAGAAACGTCGATCTTGAAAACGAAACAAAAAAAACGCCCCCATGGTTTTAAAGAACATCTGAGGCCCTGGGAGCGGCAAACACGACTCGGGATGAAAAGAACCGGTCCCGGGGAAGGAGTCTCTCGATTTCTGGGGGCCGACGTTGCGATCAAAATCACGACGCTGGAGATCTTGGAAGCCGCGGTTCGGTTCTCCTCGGTTCGGTTCGATGCGCGCCCAGATCGGCTGGGCCAGTTCGGTTCGCGTCGTGGGCCAGTTCGGTTCGTTACCTTTCATCTTCGGGGGGCCTCGCTTGTCCAGAAAATCAGTGTTGTCTCGCGCGTGTAAGTCTATGGGAGGAATGCGATTTGTCCTTTTTTGGAGCATCCTTTGAATCTGTTTTATTCTTTGTCCAAATCCACCTGTACTGGGATGGGCGCGGGGATTGCTAAGAGGACAGGGTGTTTATCAGTGGATGCCAAGGTGTGTTATACCTGGCCTAACCTACCTTCTTAGTATGTTGTTAATGCCCCAAGTGGGCTGGGGGGATAGCGATCCAGGCTAAGTGGGCTCCGCCCACTTGGCGGAGTTGTCAAATCCCCCTAAGCCACTTGGCGCATGTGTAACCCACTTATGAGCTAGGTTAGGCCAGGCGTCCACCGATAACCCCCCCTATCCCCTTAGCAACCCCCGCGCCCATCCCAGTATGGGGGACCTCGCCTGTCCCGAAAAGAGTTATGTCTTCTCTCGTGCCGGACGCTGGCCCGATGCGGACTCGACGCAGCTTTGGCCTGGGGCTTCGACGCGGAGTCGACCCCAACCCGACGAGCCCGACATGGATTCGAAACAGACTCGACGCGGATAGGGTTGCGTCGGGCGTGTCCCTCTACAGGAGAAATGTTCAAATATAGTTTAAACATCGTCTGGGGACGATTTTTCGATCATGTTTCGAGCATTTCTTTGTAATTGTTTGAGTATTTCTATTTTTGGTCCAAAATCCGCCTGTAGGGGGACATGCCCGACCTAAGGATAGGGCCGCGACGGGACAGACAAGGTCCCCGGAGGATGCAACAGAAGCGTCGTGGGGCAGGTCGGTTCGGACACCCAGGTCGGTTCGGCCAGCTTGCAAAGATCCGGTTCTCGGTGCTCGGTTCGGTTTTGCGGCCACCCTTGCGCCTCGCGGACAAGGGGCCGATAGCCTGCCCCGCCCAGAAAAATATATGCATTGTGGTTCGCCATCTGTGGCCGGTCGCCGATCTGTCGGCGAGGTATCGGCCATTCAAGTTCAAGGTTTCCCCCCCCCTGAGCTGGTCGTCCCCCCCTCCCAGCCTGTTGAATAGGCCATGCGCCCGGGGGAAGGCTTCTTAGAAGCACCCTTTTGTTCCTCAGGAGACGCGCGGGCCTTGTCCGCAGATGTAGGGCCAGCGCCTTCTCAGAGGCAGCCTCCCTCTAGGAAGCCTCCCCCCTCCCCCTTTGTGCGTGCCGCCCGCTCTATCCGACGAGCGACACGCTTAGGAGGTCGATCGAGAGACCCTCTCCCGCCTAAAGTCGATCGGGAAAGTTTGCCCCCCTCCTACTCCTCCCTCCTCCTCCTCCTCCTCCTCCTCCTCGTCCTCCTCCTCCTCCTCCTCCTCCTCCCTCCCTCCTCCTTCCCCTCCTCATTCCTCCCTCCTCCTTCCCGCACAGTTCCTACTCCTCATACTCCTCCTCCTCCTCCTCCTCAGTGGACGTTAACGCCTCCCCTTATTCCGCCTCCTCCTCCTTCCTCCCTCCTCCTCCATCCTCCTCCTCCTGCTCTCCTCCCCCCCTCCTCTCCTCCTACCTCCTCAGTCTACGAGGTGAACTCCCTCATCCTTCTCCCTCCTCCTCCCCCTCTCCTTCTCCATCCTCCTCCTCTCCTCCTCCTCCTCCGTCCTCCTCCTCCTCCTCCTCCTCCATCCTCCTCCCTCCATCCTCCTTCCTCCTCTCTCCCCCTCCTCCTCCTCGTTCCTCCTCCTTCCTCCGCCTTCCTTCAGTGTACGTAACTCCTCCTCCTCATCCTCCTCCTCTCTTCCTTCCTCCTCTCCTCATCCTCAGCCGTCCGTGCCCGAGCGGCCCGTCCCTGCGTGGACCGCCTTTGTTGGGTTGCTTTTTTCTTTTTGTCTTGTTATTTCTTGGGCGTTCCCGTTGCAAACTTCGGAGCGGCGATGCTTCGGGGAGCCGTAAAGAAGCATGGTGCCATCAATAAACGCCGTCGCCCGCAGTGGCGGCGCCGCGAATAGGCGCATGCGGGGCCGCCAAGATGCCTCCCCTTCCTTTCGCCCTCTCCCCGTCCGTTTCCCCCTTCCCCTCCTCCTCCTCTTGGCACGCAGGGGTGATGCCTGACAGCGCACAGCCCAAGAATCGCAGGGGCCCGACGCCTTCCTCAGCCACAACGCTGGAATCAGCATGTGCGAGAAGTGCGAGAAGTGGCAGCAGACTCTGGCCCGACTCCGCGAGCGGGAGAGAGTAGGGATTCAGCCCGCCGTCCTCAGCTACAGCGCCGAAAGAAGCGCGTGTGAGAAGGGTGGGCAGTGGCAGCAGGCTCTGGCTGGGCTCCGCGAGGCGGAGGTGAAGCTGGTGCCCGACGTCTTTCACTACAGCGCTACAGTCGGCGCGTGCGAGAACGGCGGGAAGTGGCAGCAGGTTCTGGCTGAGCTCCGCGAGACGGAGGTGAGACTGGAACCAGACGTCCTTAACTACAGCGTTGTATCGACGCGTGCGAAAAGGACCAGCAGTGGCATCAGGCTCTGGCTGTGCTCCGCGAGACGGAGGTGAGACCGGAACCACGGCATCCGCAGGAGAGGGTCATCAGCTACAGTGTTGGTATCAGCTCCTGCGAGAAGGGGGCGCAGTGCTCTCACCCGGCATTGCGAGAAGGGCGAACGTGGGAGCGGGGTCATCAGCTACAATGTTGGTATCAGCTCCTGCGAGAAAGGGCGCAGTGCTCTCACCCGGCATTGCGAGAAGGGCGAACGTGGGAGCGGACTCATCAGCTACAACATTGGTATCAGCTCTTGCGACAAGGCGCGCAGTGCTCTCACCCGGCATTGCGAGAAGGGCGAACGTGGGAGCGGGGTGCCCAGCTACAATGTTGGTATCAGCTCTTGCGAGAAGAAGCGCAGTGCTCTCATCCAGCATGGCGCGACGGGCGAACGCGGGAGCGGGAAGCCAGCTACAAAGCAGGTGTGGGCTCTTGCGAGAAGGCGACCAGTGGCAGCTTCTGGCACTGTGGGACGGCGAACGCCGGTATCTTTCCTTGCGAGAAAGCGTGCGGGCATCAGCTCGCGCGCGGAAGGGCTGGGAGTCAGTGGGAGCACCTTGCGAGAAGCGGGGGACGAAGCTGGAACCCAATATTGTCGGGCACTCTGTGGCAAGCCTCTTGCGAGAAGCGGGGGGCGAAGCTGGAGCCCACTAGTGTCGAGAGCTCAGGGCCTACCTCTTGCGAGAAGTGGGGGGCGAAGTTAGAGCCCAGTATCGGCGGGAGCTCTGCGAGAAGCCTCTTGCGGGAAGCGGGGGGTGAAGCTGGAGCCCAATTTAGTCGAGAGCTCTGGGCAAGTTTCGTGCGAGAAGTGGGGGGCGTAGCTGGAGCCCAATATCTTAGCTACAACGCTGCCTTCAACTCGTGCGAGAAGGGGAAGACAGGCAGTGGCAGCAAGGACTCTCAGGCGTGTCAGCCGTGTTTTAGGCCAAGCTTTTCTGACGGTCAGTGTAAGTGGACGGTATTGTGAAGGAGGTATCCACTTTCCCGAACGAGAACGGCCAAGGGTAGACTGATTCGTTAAGGGAGTGCGGCCATTCACCAAGAACGCCTATGTAAGTACGGCTTGCAAGGCGTGAGGAGTCGGGCTTCGTTTTTTTCCATCGGGGCATTCGACCCAAGCAGCACAATCCAGCACAATCCTCCTCCTCCTCCTCCTCCTCCTCATCCTCCTCCTCCTCCTCCTCCTCTTCCTCCTCTCCTTCTCCATCCTCCTCTTCCTCCTCCTCCTCCTCCTCCTCCTCCTCCTCCGCCTCCTCCTCCCTCCTCTCCTGAGAGGGGGTGCAGCGGCCACCCTCACGCTGCGGGCCTGCGCGTGCCTGGTGCACGGCCTTCCGGGCCGCTTTTCTCACTGCGGGGCGGTCTGCCCACAGGGGGGCCTTCGGCGGCAAGCGAGGGCGGGCGGCGCAAGAAGGAGAAGGCCTTCTCTCGGGGGGGGGGGGCGGGGCTTCCCAGAACGCCTATCCGAAAGCCGGGGGTCTCCCTGAGCCTTCTGAGAAGGCCCGCCCCCTCTCACTTCCCCCCCGCCCGGGCTCGCCGCCGAATTTGGTCCATCCCCAATATCGGCACAGGACACATGTAAGCAGATGGATGGCCAACCTGATTCGAAGCCGTCAGCGGACCGAACGGGGCGCCCTTTCCTTCCGCCCGCGCACAAGATTTGTTCACCCGCGAGATGGTTTTAAAGGCATGAAGAAGCTTTTTGTGGTTTTTCAAAGAGTTTGGGGTTGTCAGGGGACCTCTCTTCTGGCCTCTTGGCGCTTCTCTTGGAGCCTCTGTAAGCCTTTGGGGCCGTGTTGGAGGAGTCTTGGGCCGTTCCTGCTGCTTCTTGCGTCTCGGCGCTCTCTCTTGGGCCGTCACGGGTCTGTCTCCCGGGGCCCCTTTGCTCCCTCAGACTCCTCGGTCCCTCATGCGGTCGCTGCACGCAAGAGTGGTCCGTCGCCGGGGTGACCTCTTGTGCGCGTCTTCCGGGGTGCGTGGGGGCTCGAACCGACGTTGGGCAGGCCACGCACCGAATGTCCTTCGCGCCTAGGGGCACTCCAGGTGGATGTTGGACGAGAAATCCAAAATACCCCCAAAACGTCCCAAATATTCAAACCAAGAGTCAACAAATCGTCCCCGGACGATTTTCTGTCTATTTTTGAATATTCCTTCTGTAGAGGGACACGCCCGACTTAAGTGTAGCCGAAGCGGGTGTGGCCCAATGCGTTCCTGGCCCAAGGTGCCTTAAGGCTTTCCAGGGCGGCCCCCAGGTCCTCCAGCGAACCTCTCGCGAGGCCCGGGAAGGCCCGGGGGCCCCAGAGTGGCGCGGGAGCCTGAGGGGTGCCTTCGGCAACCACCGGCTCAACTTCCCGCAGTCGCGAACATCGAAGCGGATGATTTGTCCCACACCAGTTCCCAAGAGAGCGGCCGCGTGTCGATCGGTGTGCGGGATCAGACGGGGCAGAGCACAGGGTGAAAAGGCGGTGCGGCTTTTTTTTTACCTGGACTTCGCACTGGATGGCGCGAATGGTAGCTGTCACAGAGGAATAACGGCATGAGCATAGGCTGTCGGAGTTCCGCGCGTGGTTTGGGGGATTTGCGCTGGGCGCCCCTCTGTGCGGGAGTTCCGCGCGCTCCGCGCCCCGGGGTGATAGAATTCAGCGCAGATCAAGAAATCTGCGCGGAGCTCCAAAAGAGTATGTTCATTCAGTCTTGTTTCTCTTTTGCACATGCCCCCCGCGACCATTGCGACACAGCGTCATTGATAACAATGCATGATGTGCACAGGCTGCAGGCCCCACATGGAGCACGTGGGGAACGGCTGGCTCTCTCGCAGGCACGGGTGGTATTCTCCAGGAGGCGTGGCGGATGATGAGCGGGTCAATCAGGACGAGGCATAGGATCAGGATAGTCCAGATGAGCGAGAGATCTGAGACAAGTTAGGTGATGAGGAAAATGCTGGAGGCCTCGCGCGGCACGTAATAGTAGTATGGTCTAGTCCACTTGTCAGTTCCGTAAGCTATGGGTCGACGCTCGCGCGGCGATGCTCCGGAGTCAGTCCGACGTAAATCCGACCTAAATCAGACGTAGTCCGACGTGAACCCGACGTAAATCCGACGTGGATCCGACGTAAGTCGGGTCTCCAGTTGCCGCGCGAGGCTTCCAGGATGTTCTTCTCAAGCTAGGTTCGTTCGCGCCACATCTGACATCTTTCGGAGGTTGATAGACCTCCTATCCTGACACGTCGATTAAGGAATTGGCCGTTTTCGGTCTGCGAGAGGGAGTCTCGGCTGTCCTTTTTGCGTGTCCGGGTCAGTCGGTTTCGGTCCCAGGCCGTTTTCACTAACGGGAGGTTTCCTACAGGGGAGGTTTGTCCACCGCCGAATCTCACCCCTGCTGCGCTGCTTTGTGTTCTCCATCCGCCGACGGGGGCCCCCAGGAGAGCCCATGTCGTGCCGTGCGCAGTGAGAAGAGGGGATTTGAGCACACTGGAGTAGGAGGCTGCGGATGAGCAAGAGGAGGAGCGGGGGGTGGACGAGGAGGAGGAGGAGGAGCAGGAGGAGGAGCAGGTGGATCATGACGAGACGGAGGATCACGAGAAGGAACATGAGTGAGGGGCCCGAGATGAGAGGAGGCAGGATGCTGGGGAGAGAGATGGCCGCGCGGGGGATCGACGGCAGGGCCGACGTCCTTTGAGAAAAGATGACCGCAATTGAAAGATCGTTTCAGAGATTCGGACAGTGGAGGACGTTCCTGGAGTTGGTGAATAGCCTCTCCAAGCTGATTCACCAGGTGTGCTTCTCTGCTGGAACAGACTCGGTGCCTGTCTCAGCGTCCCGAGCAGATGGCAACGGCGGGGGGCAAGGGTACTACGGAAGAGAAGGGGCCGGCTACAGTGACGAGGATACCCGCTATTACGGATGAGACGTTCGAGGTGATGATAGCAGAAGTCAGCAGTGCAGTCATGAAGGTGTGGGAAGGTCGCAGCATGGACACGATGATCCGGAGAGAATGGAAACGAGTAGGCAAAGGGCCCCGCACCAGAGCTTGCTATGATTTCGGCTCGATGTTCGGGACTTCCTGGAGTTCTCACTTCAACCCTTCCGTGTGACAGATGCGGAGTGGAAAGCGTCCCCTTCGCACGGGCGTTGCTATTTCTTTTTTGCACAGGGCGTCTTCGAATAACTTCGGGCGCCAGGACCCCCACATGTCGATCCAGCTCCAGAAGTGGCGCAGAAGGATGGGGTCCAGGGCTCCGGTCGCTCTCGAGCCACGGGCGTGTTTTTCGCACCAGGCGGCTTCGCTCGAGAAGTGGCGCAAAAAAAGATGGGGTCCAGGGTCTGGGGATCCAACGGGCGTTTTTTTCGCAGCGGGCGTGTTCGAGACGTCGGATCTCAGGGGCCAGCCAGACAGTACTCGGGCGCAGATCGATTGGGTCCAGGGTCCCGGGATCCAGCGGGCGTTTTTGTTCGCAGCGGGCGTCTTCGAGACGTCGGATCTCAGGGGCCCACCAAACATCTTACGCGGGCCGGGCCCACGCGCTGCGACAAGACTCGGAGCACCCCCAGGTGAGGGGTATTTTTGTTCGCGGCGTGGGCCCCCAGAGGTCTGGGCTCTCTCCCCGCTGTGACGAAGTCACGACGGGAGTTGTGCTCACTATTTCTCTGGTGCCCGGCCCTCGCTGGGCCCTGCAGGGAGCGCAGAACGACAAACCCGTCCCCGGGAGGGGGTCCAGACATCCAGCGGTCGACGCTGCGAAAGCATCACGACGTCGGGGGCCTGGGCACGGGACCAGGCCTTCGTCCCGAGTCGTCTCTCTTGACGGTCCGTCGCCCGCAAAGTGGGCAGCCCGCGCCTGGGCCCCCGTCCGCAGGGAGGGCTCCTCGCAGGCGGCGCTGTGTGAGCAGCAAGCCCGGACCCCCTCGGGCAATGAAAGAATCATGACGGGAGGTGTTTCCTAATTTTCGGCCTCTGGAGGCCCTTTTCGGCCCTCGGGGTCGAGACCTTCGTTGTCATGAAGCAATGATGACGTCGGGGGTCTGGGAGCGATGGCTGTAGGCCCCTGACCAGGCGGCTGGCCCAGCCGGGGGCCCCTCGGCTCGCTTGGGCGTGCGACTTGACGGTCCCTGGGCCCTGTGAGGGCCCCTGTAGAGGCCGAGCGTCGCCAACATCGTTTTCTTCGAGCAGTGCTTGCACTCAGGGGGTCTTGCTTGGTGCCAGCACGGTGGCGGATGGTGACGACCGAACTTTCGTAGAGAGCAAAAGCACCCCGAAATAATACTCATAACACGATGGAGACGTGGCCTCACTTTGGGCCCCAGTCTTCGCAGTAGGGATAATCCATGTGGGCGGTTTGGTCTGATACACCTGCAGAAGACCCCAAATCCCTAATGCTTCTGGCTCTCCTAACTGAAGTCCACTCCCAAGGGTTAGGGGTACTTTTGTTGCTTACCAAGCGTCCCACACCCTTGCCCATAGGGGGTTCGGAGGGAGGAAGCCTGGCTATGGGTATGTGTGCAGGTTGTCGGTCCCCTAGGGAGGGCGGGGACCCCCCTCCGATCACACGCACCCAGAGTCCCCTCCGTCCCCTAATATGTACGGGTGTGTGTTGCTCGTTCGCCAGATGCGCCCGGCGTCGTGGCCGCCTCGAGGCCGAAGATTGCCGAAGACTTGTTGTCGTGTTTTTTTGGGGGGGGGGTCGGCGAGAAGAGGCCCCAGGGGGAGCAGGCAGGGCGGCCGAGGGCGAGGGGCGAGGGGCAGGCTAGGTGCGCAAGCGTCTTATCTGACTCCTACGGGGGTTCAGAGCGGGGGGTGCTACGGGGACAGGGGGATTAGTATTCAGTCGGGCCTGTCCCTCTACAGGAGGAATATTCAAAAATAGTGAAATATGCAGAAAATAGTCTGGGGACGATGATTCTTTATTTATTGCCTGGTTTGGCTATTTTTGGCTATGTTTAATTTCTCGCCCAAAACCCTTCTGTAGGAGGACATGCCCGACCGAAGGTTAGCAGTGGCTGCCCAGGTTGGTTCTGTCTGGCCTAACCTCGCTCACTGGTGGGTCGCGAGTGCCCCAAGTGGCTTGGGGGGGATAGCGATCCAGGCGAAGTGGGCTCCGCCCTCTGAGCTGAGTTGCCTAATCCCCCTGAGCCACTTGAGGCAACCCACTTATAAACTAGGTTAGGCCAGGTGGAATCCATGTGGCGCCCACTGATAACCCCCTATCCCCTTAGCAAACCCCGCGCCCATCCCAGTACCCCTCCCTTCCATCCCTTACCATTGCGTAGACCTCCTCTCTATTCGCACAGTCGGACGTCGAGCAGGGCGGAATGAGCAAAACGAGCAGAAGTGCGGAAATGCGGCCAGCGCGGCAGCGGGGGCACGATTCGGAACGAGCGGAAGCGTGGAAATGAGGCCAGCACTGCGGCGGGAGCACGATTCGGATCGAACAGAAGCGCGGACATGAGACACGAGACCAGCGCTGCAGCGGGAGCGCGATTCGGATCGAGCAGAAGCTCAAACATACATCAAACATCCAATTCGCAGGCATCCGACGTGAAAAAGACAATACGCGCATTGGGGCCCGCTCCCTCAACGGGTTCTTCCAGTGGGAGAGGAGAGCAGCATTCGTTTCGGGCAAGAGTTGGGGGGGGCGAGGGGTGAGAGGGGCGAGGGGGGCGGGAGGGGCGAGTGGCGAGGGCGAGGGCGGATGCAATTTTTGTTTGGGGGCGGATGCATCTTGGGAGGAGAAGGAGAAGGAGGAGGAGGAGCAGGCGGAGGAGGAAGGAGGAGGAGGAGAAGGAGAAGTAGGAGGAGGAAGGAGGAGGAGCAGGAGGAGGAAGGAGGAGGAGGAGGAGGAAGGAGGAGGAAGAAGAGGAGGAGGATGGAGGAGAGGAGGAGGAGAGGGCGAGGGCCCAGGCGAGGGCGGAGGCCCCCGCTCTGCACGAGCGGCCGCGGCCGCCGAGGGCTCGCTGCTGCAGTCCGCCCCCGCGGCCGCCAGCGCGCTGCCCCCGGGCGGCCCGCAGCGCGCCCAGAGCGGCGACGTGGGGCGGGGGCTGCTCACAGGCGCGGCGGCCGGCCGGAGAGACGCCGCGCCGCGCTGCTCCTGCTCCTGCTCCTCCCCCTCCTCTTCTTCTTCTTCTCCTCCTCCTCCTCCTCTTCTTCCGTCTCGTCCTCTTCCTCCTCCTTCTCCTTTTCCTCCTCCTCCGCTTTCCCCCCCTTCTCCTCCTCCTCCTCCTCCTCCTCCTCTCCCTCCTCGTCCTCGTCCTGCTCCCATGCTCCTCGTCCTTTTTGTTTTTTGTCAGCGGTCCTCCTCCTCCCTCTTCCTCCTCGTCCTCGTCGTCGTCGTCCTCCTCCTCCTCTCCCCCTCATCCTCTTCTTCTCTCCTCCTCCTTCCTCCTCCTACTCCTACTCCTCCCTCCTCGTCCTCCTCCTTCTGGTGCCGATCGTCCTTCCTTTCTTCCTCTTCCTACTCCTCCTCTTCCTCGCATTCTCACCCTCCTCCTCATCCTTCCCCCTCCTTCCTCCTCTTCTCCTCCTCCTCCTCCCTCCTCCGTCCTCCTCCTCTCTCTTCCTCCTCCTCCTCCTCTTCTTCTCCTCCTCGGTTTCCTTTTGCAGCGACTCGCTTCTCCTCCTCCTCCCTCCTCCTCTCCTCCTCCTCCTCCTCCTTCCTTCCTCGTCCTCCTCCTTATGGTCGACCGTCTCCTACTCCTCCTTCCTCCTCCTCCTCCTTCCTCCTTCGATGTGTCTCCTGCAGTCGCTCCTCCTGTTTCTCCTTTTTCTATGTCATCCTTGGGTCCCGACCGTCCTCCTCCTCCTCCTCATCCTCCATCATCCTCGTCCCTCCTCACCCTCCTCGTCCCTCCTCCCTCCTCCTCCTCTCATCATCATCATCATCATCATCATCATCACATCATCATCATCATCATCATCATCATCATCATCATCATCATCATCATCATCATCATCATCATCATCATCATCATCATCATCATCATCATTATCATCATTATCATCATTATCATCATTATCAGCAGCAGCATCATCATCATCATCTTCCTCCTCCTCCTTCTCCTCCGCCTCCTGTCGCACCTCGGTGGCAAGGAGAAGGCTCCTGCACGCGTAGGTTCCAGTCTCATGGATAGTCAGGGACCCGCTTTGGGAAGCGCCACTCTCACTCACTCACTCGCTCGCTCGCTCGCTCGCTCACTACTCCTCCTTCTCCTCCTCCTCCTCCTCCTCCTCCTCCTCCTGTTCAAGCTTCTCCTCGTCTTTCTGGCTCCCCCTCGTCGTTCTCCTCCCCCTCCTCCTTCTCCCACCTCCTCCCCAGATTGGCGGCGCGCCCAGGGGGGAAGGGGGAGGGAGGGAGAAGGATTTCGCTGAAGGCGGCGGGTCCTCTCAGAACCCCTGGCGCCTTCTGAGAAGCCGTCTGTGTGGAGAAAGCTAAGAAGAAAGCTTCTCTGAAGGTGGGCGCCTCCTCTCGGTAGGGAAATCACGTGGATCATGCTCGGCCTCCGCGGGCCCTCATGAGGCCCCGGGACCGTCAGAAGACGTCTCAGAATCCAGGGGAAAGAAGGGGGCCAGACATCGGGGCCTCATGCTATAACAAACATCGTGACGTCGGAGCCCTGGAAAGGACGCTGCAGACCACACCTGTAAAAGTTTCAGCTGTAGAGGACGAAGGGTGGATAGCGTTCTGGTCTACGTCTGAAGCTTTCTTCTCGGGCACGCCAACGTCTGGGTTTGTCAGAGTCCCTGTTTACAGAGCCCTCAGCGTCGGCCGCGCTGGGAAGTCGCCCCCTGCACGGCCTTGCTCTGTTCGAACTTCAGCGCCTCATGTGTCGCTCCATTCCGACAGCGCAGGTCGGGCTGCGGGCGACCGTGGCAGCAACCATCAAGGAGGTAAAAACGCCATGAGCATGGATTGTTGGAGCTCCGCGCGGACCGCCGAAAGCCTATGTTCGCGCGGTCTGTTCTTCTACACCAGGCAGGGCCGTGGGTGCGCGCTATCTCGCCCGCAAGACCCCGCGCAGCCACATCCCGGAAGCTCGCTTTGGGCTGCGGGCGCCCGCGGCGGCAGCCACAGCCGGGCAGCGCGGCTCTGGCCTGCGGGCGCCGCAGCCGCGCCACCTAGCTGGTGCTGCGTGCACCAACAACCGCAACGGGGCAACACGGTCCGGGCCGCGGGCACCCCCAGCCGCACTTGGGCAGCACCTTTTTTGGCCGCGGGTGCCCGCAGCCGCAGCCGCAGCCGCAGCCCTTCTCCTGGTGGCACACATCGGGCCGCCGGCGCCCGTGGCCACACCCGCGGGCCGCGCCTGCCACCGCCAGCAAGCACCACGTCTTGGTCCGCGGGCCCCCGCGGCTGCGCCCGCAGGAGCACCACGTCGTGATCACCGCCAGCGTCGTCACCATGAGGAGGATGACGATGACCGTCGTGCCCCTCATCCGCATCATCCTCCGATCGTTCTCAGCAGCCGCAGCCAGGCAGTGCATCTTGCGGCCGCAGGCGCCCGCAGCCGCAGCCGCAGCCCCCGGCACCACACCTGGCCGCGGGCGCCCGCAACCGCCGCAACCGGGCGAACACACAGTCTGGGCCGCGGACGGCCGCGACTCCTGTAGCCGCAACGGGGCAATCGCTACCGTCCTAAGTACAGTCGTCACCGCTACTAGTAACAGTTCCACTGCCATTTCCACTGCAGCCCGCGGTGCTCCGCTGGGAGACTGCAGTGCGGGGTCTCCCCCTTTCACGCTGCTGCCCCATAGTACCATAGTACGCACCGTAAGAACAGTCGCACTAAGCAGAGGTCGGGAACCAGACCCCCCCCCTTCCGCCCCCTTCGGCCCAGTGTCGAAACGCCGACTAAGAAAACGTTCACCACATTATTTTTCCGAGGTCCACGCGGAGTTCTTGGACGGGCGCCGGAGCCCCCTGGCAGCGCCTGTGGCGCCGCCCCTGGCGCCTGCCGCGCGACAGAGAGGCGGTGCTTTCTCCTTTGATGTGCTACGACGCGGCTATCACAATGCCGCCCTAGCCCATGCCCTTAGTTTGCAATCCCCAAGGCTCGTGACTGCCACTGGCCCCGCCTCGCCCTGGTGCGCCTGGCAGGGTCGGCAGTGAGTCGCCCTGGTCTCGGCGCAGCCGCTCACAATTGTGAGGTCAGCGAAAATACACACACACGACGGGAGATGCTTGACAGTTTTCTGCCTCTGGCGGCCCTCGCCGGGCCCCAGGATCGTCAGACGACTCGGGGTGAAAAGCCAGCCCCGGGCAAGGGGTCTGGGGGTTAACGCTGTGAGAAAGCGGCAGGAGGGAGGAGGGAGGAGGGAGGGGGGAGGAGGGATGAAAAGCCAGCCCCAGGGGTGGACGTTGTGAAAAAACGGCGAAGTCGGAGATCGGGAAAGGTCAGGGGGAGATACCCCCAGAGCTGTCATCGATGATCCTCAGGACGTCACCACCCACCAAACCAGCCCAGCCCAACCCGAAGGCTTCAATTTGCCCTCCATTTCCAGTGTGGGGGGTCGGGGAACACAGAAAAAAAACATATGGAACCCGTACCCCCCCCAACCCGAAATTCGGGTCTTTGGGTTGGGTTGGGGTAGTCTGATGGGTAGTCGGGACGTGTGTTGGCCCAACGTGTGCTGACCCCGTTCAGCTGCGCCGGTCCCTTGCAGCCTGTGTCTGGCCTCGCGATCCCACCTGCGTCGTATGGAAGGGCTCCGATGGGCGAGCACATTTTGGTGCTAACGCACGTTCTGACCTAGGCCTTCTAAATGGGGTCGATGTAGAGGGGGTCGGAGGATCGCGCCGCATCGCCGATACAGTGGTGATGTGTGGCTCGATGTAGAGCCCGACTTTCTCCAGACGGGCGTCGCGGATGCATCACTGACGTCGCCAACGAATCGCCGATGCGTCAGCGATGCTTTGGCAATGTGGAGTGAACCTCCGATCTTATATATTCGGACATTCGGACCCAGTGGGGAGGCCTCCTAACATTTTTTCGTCGCAGCACGGCAGAGGCAATTCGCACAGGCGCTCGAGTTGTCGGGGGCATTCGACAAACTAATTGTTCCTCTGAGACTGCCCTTTTTATGAAATTCCTTTCCAGTGCTCTGTTCGTTCTCCAAGCGGCCATAATGATCTCCAAAACGGTTTCCAAGGCAGTCGATATGACATCAAGACGGCCCAAGATGGCCAAAGACGGCTCAAGAGGCTCCCAAGACGGTCTTAAGACAGCTCTAAGAGGCTCCCGTGACGGCCCAAGAGGGCACCAAGAGGCCCTCCAAGAGAGCCCAAGGAGTCCACAAACGATTGAGTTCCCATAGGTGTTTGAAGAATTTTGAGGTCATCGCGCATTTGAGATTCCGACCGCCGAAGAGGGCCCAAGAGGTTTCCAAGATAGCATACATCAGTCCATACATCTTCCAAGATGGCCCCGAGTCGGCCCAAGAGGACCCCAAGATCGCCTAGGAGGCTCCCAAGGGGGCTCCAAGAAAGCCCTAGAGCACTCCAAGAGGGCACCAAGAGGCCCTCCAAGAGGGCCCGAGGAGGCCACAAACAATCGTTTTCCCCTAGATCCTAGATGTTTGAAGGATGTTGAGGTGATCGCCCATTTTATTTTCCCACCACCGAGACGGCCCAGAAGACTTCCAAGATAGCTCAAAGGCAGCCCATGAGGCCTCCAATCTGCCCCCGAGTTCTGACCATCGTCGGTGCCGGGAGGGGATCGCTGTTCCCGCGACCACCGCTTGGGGCAAAGCAGGAGCAGCAGCAACAGCAGCAGCAGCAGCAGCGGCCGCCTCGACGAGGAGACGGAGAAGGAGAAGGAGGAGGAGGAGGAGGAGGAGGAGGAGGCAGGAGTACGAGTAGGAGTAGAAGGATGAGGAGGAAGTAGAGGAGGAGGAGGAGGAGGAGGAGGAGGAGGAGGAGGAGGAGGAGGAGGAGGACGGAGGAGGAGGAGGAGGAGGAGAGAGGAGGAGGAGGAGGAGGAGGAGGAGGAGGAGGAGGAGGAGGAGGGAGGGGGGAGGAGGAGGAGCAGGAGGAGGAGGAGGAGGAGGAGGAGGAGGAGGAGGAGGAGGAGGAGGAGGAGGAGGAGGAGGAGGAGGAGGAGGAGGAGAAGGAGGAGGAGGAGGAGAAGGAGGAGTAGGAGGGAGGAGGAGGAGGAGGAGAAGGAGGAGGAGAGGAGGAGGAGGAGGAGGAGGAGGAGGAGGACCTCACCTCAGGCAACTTTCCTGGCCTGCTGAGCCTGGGGACTGGCGGCGCTGGCTCTGGGACAAGGGACATGCTCGGCGGCGCAGGCGAGCCTGCTCGTCCCCGTCCCTTTTTTCGGCCTCCCTCAAAGGGCACTCCATGTCCCAGAGGAGGAGGAGGAGGAGGAGGAGGAGGAGGAGGAGGAGGAGGAGGAGGACGAGGAGGAGAACATCAGGGAGGGGGAGAAGAGGTAGGAGGAGGAGAAGGAGGAGGAGGAGGAGGAGGAGGAGGAGGAGGAGGAGGAAGAGGAGGAGGACGAGGAGGACGAGGAGGACGAGGAGGAGAGTTTTGCCCAGACCCCACAGTCACCTAAAGCTCCAGGGGCTCATCTTGCCAAGGGACGTGCCCCCGCCCCCCTCTCGCTGGGAAGATCTCGTGGCGTGAGGTGTTTTTGGCCACTTTTGGCTCCAAGGGGCCCTCACCAGGCCCAGGCACCGTCCAGAACCGGCTCGGGGCGACAAGCCGGTCCCTGGGAAGGGGGTCCAGATCTCCGGGGGCCATACTGTGAAGCATCACGACGTCGGGCTTCTTGGTCTAGCGTTGGGTTCCGGAGCTTGAAGGGGGCCTCCGAGGCCCCCCCGAGTCGGAATCATCGCCCGTCGGGGATTTGGACACGAGAGCACATGTTGGGGGGGCCTCGATCCCCTGTTCCTGTGGGACGCCCCGCTCTGGCTCCATCCTCCTCCTCGGGTGGCCGACTCCCTGGCTGCCCCTGGCTGCGCCGATGCCTGCTTCCTCGCCCTGCTGCCGCTCCCCCCCCTCTGGCTTCTACCTTTCCTCGGTCGACTCGCCCCTCGTCATCGTCCTCGATCCTCGTTATTTGTCCTCCTCCTCCTCCTCCTCCTCCCCTCCCCCTGCTCCTTTACTCCCACATCGGTGCATTGATATCGAGTTTTGTCTGGTTATCCGAAGGACAAGTCCGTTGCTGCTCATCGGCACGGAAGTCAAACCAAAACGATGCCTAAGCCAACAGGGCTCTCACTGAGTGCCAGGGCGATGCACCTCCCCAGAGCTTCGACGTCGCGATTTCAAGTCTTGAAGACGTGGACCCCCGGGAGATCTGGACCACGGGCGCGGGCCATCGCCGCGGACTGCCGCAGGTGCGACTTGGTTGGACCGCTGCGCCGCCCCCCCCCTGCACGATCGAGGTCGGTGGGTGTGGGTGCTGCGGGCGCTTCTCCCTTCCGTTGCGAAGGTTCGAGGGTCCAGGCTTTCGGAGGTCTTCGTTGACTCCCAGCGGCCTTCCAGCCTCAGGATGCTTTCCAGCAGCTGCGCCCTTCCGAGAGCGTTCTGGATGTGGTCAGGGCGTCCCGAACGGCCACCGAAGACCCGAGTTATGACCCGCAAAACCAAACCTCTTCTCGCTGTGAAGCAGTCACTACAGACTATTTTCGGCCACCGGGATCCCCCGCGTGGCCATGGGACCTTCAAAAACTATCCGGGAGGACAAAGCGATCCAGGGAAAGAGGGTCCAGACCATTGGCAGCCCAGATTGTGAAAAGACGCAGCGTCGGATTTTGGGGCCGCAGAAACCACATCTCCGACGACCTATCTATTCCCCCCCCCGTTTTTGCCTCGATTTCATTATCTCTGGTGCCTGGAGCCCGTTTCAGTCCACCCGCATAGTACTTCCGGAGGTCATCCTTGCATCCTTCCCGATTCGGCCCGTCCTTGGCCGCTTTCGCTGGCCGTGCCCCACCCGCAAAGTGTTGACATGGCCCTCCAAGGTTCTTGCATCCTTGTCGCGAGTCCTCATTATGTGGGTTGACCGTACCGTGCTCCAGGACCATACGAACGGATCCGGGACGGAAAGTTGTCCCTAATGAAGGGGTCGGATGTCTTCCTGGCGGGGAAACGTAAGACTCGAGTGCGCCAGAACTCGGGTTTGCCGATGCTTTTTGACGGGTGCGTCCTGGGTTTTGACTCCAGTTTTCGTGGAGTGTTTGCAGCGGGGTTTCGCGTCAAATTTCAGACAGGGTATCGTCATTTTCATGATAGCCCCGTCAGGCCAACCGGAGTCCCCCGAACCCGAGTCTTACGTCTCCCCGATCCTAGGGCAAGGCCCTGTTTATTTGACACACACACACACACACACACAACACACACACATCGTCGGATGTCTGGGTACTCCGTGCTGGTCAGTAAGCGTGAGGGGTGGATCGCGTGGTGGGGTAAGAATGGGCCCTCTTCGCGGGGCGCGGGGGGCTGGATCGCGTTCGGGGGGAGGTGCGCGTGGGGTGACGGGGACGGGCCGTGGCGCGGAGTGGCATAAGGGAGGGCTTATGTCTAGCTTCCTAGATGGGGTCGGGGTAGATGGGGTTGGAGGATCGCGCCACATCGCCGATGCATCGCCGATGCGACTCGATGTGAAGCCCCATTTGCTTCACGTTGACGTCGCCGATACACCGCCGGAATCGCCGATGCATCGCCGATACATCGCCGATGCATTGGCGATGCGGTGCGATCCTCCGACCCCATCTACTCGGAACCCATCTCGGAGGCCTCTATTTTTGAAAAACTCGGATTGCACCCATCAGACATCTCAAGAAAACGCTTCAACGTTCATGAACTCTGGACTTCTCACAGGAGAACCAAGAATCTGGCCTGTTCCCTGGGCGTATTCCTGGTGTCTGGTTTATCGTAGACGTGTCGTATCTCTGGAGCTGGACTGCTGTTTAAGAATCGCTCGGAGTGAAGGCCATTTTCTTAGCGTAGAATTTCCTGGACTCTAAGCGTGGTTGTACCGATCATGGGCACCAGACCAACAACACACCTCAACACCGACCCTGGCCAGGCCAATCCTGGGCCCAGGATTTGGTGTGCAGGCCGTCCTGCACGCGCTATGAGGGCGTACGTATGCACCGATCCTATGCCCAGGATGAGCCTGGCTTGTGATGTCCCAACGTACTTCAGCTTTGATCGCCAGGAAGAACTTCGAGCAACGAGAAAGCACCCAGACTTGAGGGTTCTCACGTGTCGGGCCCTCGGAGGCGATACTCGGTCGACACTGTTTCGATCCTTTCCTGGAAGCTCGAGATTATTTCTGGGGTGTGGTCCTTAAGTACGATGGGAACCACATGAAGCCTGGCCAGGATCGGTCCCAGACCCCCGACGTCGTGGTTTGTTCACAACGTCGACCCCCCAGCCCAGGAACTGGTTTCTGTCCCGGGGCCAGGTGAGGGCCTCTGGAGGCCGAACATAGCGAAACCCATCCCGTGGCGTGGAGGTCTGGGGCGTAAGCTCGGTGTCCCAGATATATGCCAGGGAATCCCAGTGGGCGCTCCGCCCCGCGCGGCGGCCGGCGACGTACCCGCAGGGGCGCCCGCTGCCGATGGCGCCGCGCGGCCGCTCGGCAAGGACGGGGGCGCTGGCGCTGGCGCGGCCGGGAGCTCCGACCAGCGCAGGCCGCGCGGGGAGGGGGGGGCGGGGACCCAGAGCCTCTCGAGACAGGAGGGAGTCAATCACGTTTTTTCCATAGTTTCGGCCCTGGGGGGCCTTGACGGGGCCTCGGGCCCGTCCACAGACGACTCAGGATGAGGAGCCGGCCCCGGTGAGTGGGTCGAGAGAGTCGAGAGCTCTGGGGGCCGAGGTTTTGGCAAAAAGCATGACGTCGGGGGTCTGGGGGGAAGGGAGCTGACACGAAGATGGGCCAGGACAGCGCTATGCGCATCATAGCTCGCCCGCGCTGGGCTGAGTATGAGGGGCGCACCCGGGTGAACGTGTCAGGGAACCACTCGAGAACCAAGCGTGAGCTTTGACCAAGGATCGTGGCGACCAGGCAGCAAGGCGACGAGAGATTCGGGCAACGAGCACACAACTTCGTTGGATTTCGCATTTCGTCTGTCACAGAGCAGGACCCGCGTCCGCAGCTTATGGAACTATTCGGGTGCACTGATGTGTCCCGAAGTATCTGGGCACATCTTTGGGCACCCACTGTTTCAGCAATCAGTGTGCATGCGCGCATGCGTACACAAACGACCCCCAATATTGAAGTTCAAACTTGGGAATGGAGCTCGGGTGCTGTCCAACTCAATAACTGATTTTGGAATTTCAGCTTTAATCATTGACGATGTGAAGTTGCGAAACTCGAGATTGAACTATTGAGGTATTGAGTTCCGTACTTCAATATCGGAGCCAGGTCCAATATTGAAGTACAGGTCCAATGTTGAACTTCGTACTTCAATATTGAAGTTCCCCCCTCTTCTCCCGGATGGGGCCAAGGGCAGCTCGTGGATTCAGAGAGAGCAGGGAGAGGCCTTGGATTCACCTCCAGCCCGTCTTGTTTACCGCGTCGTCTTGATTCCCGGCTTGAAAATTATGAAGCCTTTCTGTGGCGGTGACCGGCTCCTTTTAGGCCGGATTGGGCAGTCTTGAGCGGTCTGTGGCGCCCCCTGGGCTTCTTTGGGCAGTTGCGAGCAACCTTCGTCCGCTCTTCGAGTTCGATTGGGGTTCTCTTGGTCCGTCGCAGGTGTCTCTAGGTCCCTCGTGGAGTTGTCGCGTGCTGTCTCGCGCGGTTACCGTGCCTATTCGGGGCCCCAGACGGGTCCAAGATGGCCCCGAGAGGGCCCGAAAAAAGGCAAGAGAGGGCTTCAAGATGAAGTCCCGTCCTGTGCCTTTTTTGGCACCTTTTTAGGAGACCGTGTTGGGGCCCAAGAGGGGCTCGAGAGGGGCCCGAGACGGCACCCAGAGGGCCATCGTAGATATCTCTAGGGTTCTCCCGAGATTCTCTTGCGCTTGCGCCTCGAGCGAGCGCCTCGAAATAAATCCCGCGAGAGATCTTCAAAGCCAAGGCCCCGTAATCTCGCAAACCTCGTTTTGCGAACCGCTCTTCTGATTTATTCCAAGGCTTTCGCTTTGCATATCTTTCGTGGCAATTGTTGCAGGGCTGTCGCTTGGCAAGCCTTTCCTGGAAGCGGGTGCAAAGTTAGGGCAACCTCTGCCGCTGAGTTCTGCGGCGCAAGAACCCCGCAATTTCTTATGCACACGCACTCAAAAAAGTGCCGCGAGCGATCTGCAACGCGAGCGCCTCAGCATAATTCGCGCGAGAGATCTGCAAAGCGACCGTATCGTTTGCAGGTTTCTCGTCGGACGTAATCAGAGGCTTTCGCTTTGCACACCTTCCGCGGCAATTATTCCAAGGCTTTCGCTCGGCATACGCCCCCGGCAGCGCGCGCAAGGTGTAGGCATTATCTGCCGCGAACCGCCTGCGATGTGAGCGCCTGTTATGACTGCCGCGATCGATTTGGAAGAGAGTCTCCATGCAAGAGCAAGCGGAGGAGGAGGGGGGAGGAACATGAGGAGGAACGGGAGGAGGAGGAGGAGGAGGAGGAGGAGTAAAGGGGGACGAGGAGGAGGAGGAGGAGAACGAGGAGGATGAGGAGCAAGAGGAGGAGGAATAGGAAGAGGAGAACGAGTATGATAAGGAAGAGGCAGGCGGAGAAGAAGGAGGAGGAGGAGGAGGGAGAGAAGCGCAATCACCGAATATTGAACTCGATTGTTCGACTGTGAATGTTCTTCAGTCGGAACGTTCGGCAAATTTCAATATTGGATTTTTGCTTCAACATAGAATTTTGAAGCCCAATAATGAAACAACACTTCCATCTTGAACCGAGGCGTTCCACATATTCAATAGTTGAATTCTCGACTTGCAAACTGTTTTTTTCCCCAATGCTCAATGTGTGGGTTTGGATGTAAAGTATTGGACTCCCGTTAATTGATCGTTTTCAATTCCGGAGTTGGAAGTTCAATATCCAGGGACGACCGTGGGATCGAGCAACCACACATACACGTGCGGGTATGTGTATACATACATACATGCACCAGGTGTTGTTTGCCTTGGCTTTGTTTTCATGGAAAGTCACATCCCTTGGTGCCAAAACCAGCTTTGTCGACAGAAGGAGATGCTGGCGCAACTGACGCGCCTAAAAAGAGCGAGCTGGGCAGCATGTATGACGTGCAGTTCTTGCAGGCAGTGGCCCTGGAGTGCACGATGCTCCTCTCTCATGGGGTGCGCAAACACCCCGACCCCCCCCAAAAAAATCGAATTTGCTAAGCAGCCCTGGGCGCTTACTGAACAGGTCCTGCCCTGTCCGACTCGTTCCCCATGAGTGCGTTTGACATACGGTTTCCTCCCACGGGAGCTCATCACTTGGGTGTTTCCTCTGCCCTCTACCTCCGGAGCGGCTGACGAGATGGGCGGAGGGGGCGTACCCCCGCTGACCCGGCGGCGATTGCCGACAGGCGCAGGGGCGGGAAGTTGCTGCTCATGATGAGCGACACCGAGCCGCCGGCCGTGCCGCCCGCGCTGCTGGTGTCCTTGGCTCAGCTGCCCCTGCACGCCCGTGTGGACGCAACACGTACCGTGTTCAGAACGTCCGTGTCAGCATGTTGCGTGCTGGCTCGGCGCGTGCTGGCGTGCGCTTCCGCGATCGCATCGCGCCAGGCCTACGTGGTCGGGCCACGCGTTGAGCTCCGTGTCAGCATGCTACGGGTTGCGTGCTGCGGCTCGGGGCAACCCAGTTCGGGTGCAACCCCGGGGAGGTCGACTTCTGATTTTGCCTTGGTCCGAATCCTGCTGAGTCTGGCTCATTCCCGCTGCATCCCGCTCACTCTAACGGAGTCCCGCTGAATCCGCCGCCCAATCCAGCGCAACCGCCCCCCAGCTGGGGCTTGATCTTCCCTGATCCTCCCGACGAGGACCTCCCAGTAGGTGCCTCCTATGCAACTAAGGTCCCTGGTGGTGGAGAGCGTGCTGAGCATCGTCTCGACGCTGTACAGGCTGGGGCGGCGGGCGGGCGGGCGGGCCGGCCGCGGCGGCCCTCGGTGTCGGAGACCACGGGCCCGGGCTGGGCCCTCCCCAAGAAGACGGCGACGGGAGGGGGGGGGGAGGAGGAAGAGGAGGAGGAGGAGGAGGACGAGGAGGAGGAGGAGGAGGAGGAGGAGGAGGAGGAGAAGGAGGAAGAGGAGGAGGAGAAGGAGGAGGAGGAGGAGGAGGAGGAGGACGAGGAGGACGAGGAGGACGAGGAGACGAGGAGGAGGAGGAGGAGCAGGAGGAGGAGGAGGAGGACGAGGAGGAGGAGGAGGAGGAGGAGGATGAGGATGAGGAGGAGGAGCAGGCAGCAGCAGCAGCATCAGGAGCGCAGGAGCAGGAGGAGGAGGAGGAGGAGGAGCACGAGGAGGAGGAGGAGGACGAGGAGGAGGAGGAGGAGGAGGAGGACGAGGCGAGGAGGAGGAGGAGGAGGAGGAGGAGGAGGAGGGGAGGAGAGGGAGGAGGAGGAGGAGGAGGAGAAGGAGGAGGAGAAGGGAAGAAGGAGGAGGAGGAGGAGGACGAGGAGGAGGAGGAGGAGGAGGAGGAGGTGAAGGATGAAGAAGAGGAGGTGAAGGAGGAGGCGGAGGAGGAGGAGGAGGAGGGGGAGGGGGAGGAGGTGGAGGGGGAAGGGGGAGGAGAAGGAGGAGGAGGAGGAGGGGAGGAGGACGACGACGTCGAGAAGGAGGAGGAGGAGGAGGAGGAGGAGGAGGAGGAGGGAGGAGGGAAGAGGAGGAGGAGGAGGAGGAGGAAGAAGAAGAAGAGGAGGATGAGGAGGAGGACGAGGAGGAGGAGGAGGAGGATCAGGATGAGGACGAGGAGGGTGACGAGGAGCAGGAGGAAGAGCTAGAGGTGGAGGAGGCTTTCTCGCGCCGTGGTCACAGGAGGCTCTGTCGCGCCACCACTTGTGGCCTGGAGTCCCAGGAGCAAGGCGAGCTGGCTCGGTGGAGGCCAGAGAACCATCAACTCCAAGTCCCTTGCTCATCCTGCTTCTGCTCCTCGTCCGCCTGCTCCCTCCAGAGGCACAATCAGCTTCCGCGTCCTGCTCATCCTGCTGCTGCTGCTGCTGCTCCTCGTCCTCTTCGTCCTCCTCGAAGCAGCAGGCCAAGAGTCCTGGGGACTGCCCTTCCGACTGGCCACAGTCAGTTTTCTCATGCCGGCTGGTCATTAATTTCGGAGCTGGAACATCTGCATTACCAGAGGCGGGCTGATGTTCAATCCCAGGACTTTGGGAGGGTCGGGGACGACGTCTGGGTGGTCTTGTGCATACTTTGTTAATCCGTTTCCCGGGAAACAGCGGAACATGTAACCGCGAGCCCCGTACGTATAGTATATCATACCCCCCCCCCGTCCCCCTTGAGAGTACTTCCCCGCCAAGACAGAGTTGGTCGGGGATGGCCTGGGTGGTTTGAAGCTACTCCGCCTGTCCTTAACCTTCCCCATTGAAGTGTGATGCCAGGTGGTCCCCGAGGCCTCTCCGGGAACATCCAGGAACCAGGTTCCAGGGAGCCTCCTCCGGAACATGGTTGCCGGCGGGCCCCGGTGGCCTCTCCTGGAGCGTCCGGGGCCAAGTTCCCGGAAGCATTGATAACGTCAGATCTTACGTACGGACGTTATGTTGATCTTTCGCCATTCAAGGTAAAGTTGTGGAAGTTAGTTTCCGAGTTTAACACATGTTTGAGTTATGCGTTTTAGCAGACGGTATGCAATCACTCTAAAACCTGATGCCAAACACTCTGAAACCTAACTTCGCTAATATCAACCTTGTTTTCTCACTTCAACAAAAAAGCGCGTTGCGCTCCTTACGGAGCTCAATTATGCGATTCGCGTTCCTGTCTTTGCTCATTTCAAATCACCGGAGAGCTCGCCCTTTGGCCACCCGCCAGCCCCACGCCAAGGGGCGAGCATACATACGGGCGCAGCACCGCGCTGACTGCGTAGCCGTCGGCTGGGCCGACCAAGCGAATGACGCATCGCGTGGCGGCTGGATGCCCGCGCCCAGCACAGCTCTTCTCGGTTCCTTCTTCTCCTCCTCCTCCTCCTCCTCCTCCTCCTCCTCCTTCTCCTCCTCCTCTCCGCGGGCTTCAAACTGCCACCGACATATCCTCACCCGCTGGCTTGAAACTACCACCGAAATATCCTTACCCGCTGGCTTCGAACTGCCTCCGACATATCCTCACCCGCTGGCTTAAAACTGCCACCGAAATATCCCCACCCGCTGGCTTAAGACTGCCACCGAAATGTCCCCACCCGATGCCTTAAAAATGCCCTCGAAATATCCTCACCCGCTGGCTTAAAACTGCCATCGAAAGATCCTCGCCCGCTGGCTTAAAACTGCCTCGGAATATCCTCGGTAAAACTCGGTAACACCTCGATCACACCCGGTAACACCTCGACAACACCTCGATAACATGTTATCGAGGTGTTATCGAGGTGCTATCGAGGTGTTCGTGGCGGCTGGATGCCCGCGCCGAGCATAGCTCTTCTCGGTTCCTCCCTCATCCTCCTCCTCCCCCGCGGGCTCAAAACTGTCACCGAAATATCCTGACCCGCTGGCTTAAAACTACCACCGACATATCCTCACCCGCTGGCTTAGAACTGCCACCGACATATCCTCCCCCGCGGGCTCAAGACTGTCACCGAAATATCCTGACCCGCTGGCTTAAAACTACCACCGAAATGTCCTCACCCGCTGGCTTCGAACTGCCACCGACATATCCTCACCCGCTGGCTTAAAGCTGTCACCGACATATCCTCACCCGCTGGCTTAGAACTGCCATCGAAATGTCCTCGCCCGCTGGCTTAAAACCGCCACCGAAATATCCTCCACCGCTGGCTTCACACTGCCACCGGAATATCTTCACCCGCGGGAATTAATCTGCCACCAGAATATCCTCACCCGTTGGTTTGGAACTGCCACTGTAATACCCTCACCTGCGGAAATACAACTGCCACCGGAGTATCTTCACCCGCTGGTTTAAAATTGCCACTGAAATATCCTCACCCGCGGAAGTAGCTTTGCCACCGAAATATCTTCACCCTCTGGCTTGAAATTGCCACCGAAATATCCTCACCCGCGGAATATAACCGCCACCGCAATATTCTCACCCGCTGGCTTAAACTGCCACAAAAATATCCTCACCCGCTGGCATAAAACTGCCACCAACATATCCTCACCCGCTGGCTGAAAACTGCTCCCGAAATATCCCCACCCGCGGAAATAAAACTGCCATCTAACGGCCTGGTGGTTCAGTTCTGTCTGTTTACCTCGCGAGAATCAAATTACGGGCTTCGCCTTAATTTGTGTCATACATGAAAATTAGCTGGGAGGGGGGCAGGAATAACGCAAGCAATGAGAAACAACAAAAGAACGCGCTGGAAAAGCAAAAACCCAATTTCCACAATTTCAACCACTAAAACCTACCTTCGACCACTCCAAAGCCGAACTTCTACACCTTCAACGGTTTCAAAACCGCTTTAAGAGAAAAACGCCCTCGCACTAACTTCACTAATCTCCACATCTTAAATAGTGAAGATGGTCTTCACAATTTAAGATGCGGAAGTTAGTGAAGTTACTGAACCTGCAGTTGCGTAAGTTGAACTGCAATTGCGAAGTTTAAATTAAGCTGTCACGCCGCAAGGGCAATACAACTTCCATAAGTAAGGTCTGACGATATCAGCAGAGACATGAGTTTCGGGGTCGCCCGGAGCGTCCGGAATCATGTTCCCAGAAGTTTTTCCGGGAACATGATGTTCGGTGTTGCCCGTGGGGGCGTCCGGGGACATTCCGTCCCGCGTTGGTGGTCTTTCCTCTCCGTAGCCGCATTGGCTCGGATAAGCAAGCCCATGGCTTGCCCCCCCTCGCTTTCTGCCCTCCTCGCCCAACCCGTGCGATGGGGGGCCAGCGAATGTACCTGGCCAGCATATTCGGTGGGCGAGTTGGCACCGGGGCAATGTGGCAACCCAGCGTGCTGGGCCCATACCCCCAGGGGCCCCCATCAGACCAACGTATTTTGTACAGCGTCATGTGTGGAACACCTTATTTATTAGCGAACGAAGAAAACAGCAGCGCGCAGTCCATCGCCTTCTCTCAGCTAAGGAATACTGCCGTCACAGTTCGCGCGGGGGGGTCAGGACCGAACTTTATTAGTGCGGGGGAAAGTTTCGAATCGAAGTTGCTATCTTCTTATGTGGAGTATCAACGTCACCCAAAGCGTGTAGCATGGCAATGAGGTTCTCACCGTTTCAGCTTTCGCAGTTCACGAACGTGTGCGAGGGCTCAATGATTCTCACCATTTCTGCTTTCCCAAGTCACGAATGTGTGGCAGGGCTATGGGCTATGGGTCGGCAAGGATCTGAAGAGTGCGGGCAAGCTTTCGGTCGCTCACGAGAATCGGGTTGACCAAAAAGGGGGTCCAGCGACAAGGGGGTGGTGCAATAGATTTGGTGCAATAGATTTGTGGGCAGGCAATAAAATTCCGGCGTGCAATACATTCCGGTGTACAAATGTATTGCTGGGCTTTCGCGTGCAATGCATTCGTTGCAATACAAGGCAATACCATTTTTCGGGGAAGCACGTTTGCAACACAATTCCGTTGCACCACCCCCTTCCAGCTTGACCCTTTTTTGGGTCGACCACAGAGAAAGACTGCGGGACACATCCTCTTCGTCGTCGTCGAGTCCTCACGGTCGACGTCGTCGTCTTCGTACGACGACGACGGCGACGACGACGACCTCCTCTTTCCTCGTCATGAATCCGTCGTGCGATTTGCTGGGACAAATCGTTAAGTATCCCCCCGAGACCCCGAACTTTATTATCCCCCGGGTGTTATCCTCAGGGGCACAGGGTTATACACCAGGAGTTCGTATTCGTCAGGATCCGTTTTCCTTGTTGCAAATTTGAATGCTGGGTCGAAACAAAGGCGTCAGTGTATGAGCTTGGTCCCCTGTAATTCACCACCGCCCCCAGCCCACACTCTAAATTGTTGCCTTCGGGGGGCGCTTCTGGCCCCCTGCACTCTCGCGAGGCTAGGAAGAAAAGTTCTGGTGATACGTAAATGCCGGGTGCAGTCGGAATTCTGTTGATACTGCTGCTCATCCTTTTCGTCGTCGTCCTCCTCCTCCTCTCGTCCTCCTCCTCCTCCTCCTCCTCCTCCTCCTCCGCCTCCTCCTCCGCCTCCACCTCCTCGACCTCGAAATGTGGTCGGGTCGGCCCAGTTCCTTGCCGTCCCGTCTTGCCGAGTGAGCTCTCCTTCTGCTCTTCCTCCTCCTCCTCCTCGCCTCCAGGCCACGCTCCTCCTCCTCCTTCTCCTCCACCTTCTCCTCCTCCTCCGCCTCCGCCTCCGCCTCCGCATCCGCCTCCTCCTCCGCCTCCGCCTCTGCCTCCGCCTTTGCCTCCTCCTCCTCCTCCTCCTCCTCCTCCTCCTCCTCCACCTCCCACGCATTCATCTCTCGGATTCGGACGCAGGGGGGACCTTGGGGAAATCGGCGCTGACAGCGGTTCTCACCTCCTGCCGGGCCAGGGGGGGTGGAGCAGGCGCTCCGAGGGGCGCCCGTGCCCACATTCATTGATCGGCTCGCCCCGCCAGCAGGCAGCAAGGACCCGTTCTGGCTCGGAAACACGCTCGCGGGGATGTCCGCCGCCGCCCCCCTTTCATCGTTCACCCCCCAGGATTCATTTCGATCCGCGATCCATTCGATCCGATTCGGTGTCAATTCCAGCCGGCCCGATCCGATTCGAGTCCGATAGTCCGACGATCCGCTGCGGCCTTGCATTTGCATTGTGTTGTTGCGCATCCTGGCGCAGCACCCACATTCGGTTTTGATTCCGTGCCGATGCGGCACGATCCAGTGAGCGTTCCGAGTCGATTTGATTTGCCCATTTACCCGATTTGCCCCACGCGCACTTCATCCTCTTCTCCCTCCTGGCCCGACAAGCAGGCCAGGCGGCAGCCAGGTCCTGCATCCAGTGTAAGCCGCGGGGGGGTCCGGAGGCTTTCTTGCGTCAGGGTTCTGGGGCCGGCCTCCGAACGCCTCAACCCATGCCCCTCTCCCTCCTCTCCCACTGCGGTCACAGGAACGTTGACTTGGCGACCAAACGTGCCGCTCCGATGCCTGTGGCCAACCGCGTCGGCGCGACCCGCCATCCACGCCCCCAGTCCCCGAGCGCCAACGTCCCCAGACTTTCGGAGAGGCCGCTCCGTGGAGCGAGAGGCGCGCTGGCCGCTCGCAGGGCATCGCGTGTCGCTGAGGCCGCCGCCGCGGCACGCCAGCGAGGAGTTCCCAGCTGTGCGCTGTGCGTTGGTGGGAGGGAGCCCCCAGGCGGGGGAGGTGCGCCACACGGGCGAAGGCCGAAGGAGGGGGGGCGGGTCTGTCAGAGCCCCGGCGGTGCGACGCCTCCTTTTTGGGTTGCGTGCTTGCTTCTGCTCGCAAGGAGGAGGAGCAGGAGGAGGAGGAGGAGGAGGAGGAGGAGGAGGAGGAGCTGGAGGAGGAGGAGGAGGAGGAGGAGCAAGAGGAGGAGCAAGAGGAGTTTTCGCCTTCTCTCGTTCTCTCTCTCTCTCTCTCTTTCTTTCTCTCGCCCTATCTCTCTCTCTCTCTCCCTCTCTCTCTCTCTCTCTTTCTCTCGCCTCCCAACCTGGTCCTCCAGCTCCACTCTCCGCCCTCCCGCCTCCACCTGCATGCCAGTCCACCCCTCCACTGGTGCCCTCCCCCCTTGTCCAGATGTCGAAGGCGCCTCCAGCGAGTCAAGCCGCCCCCTGTGACCGAGAAGCTCGAATCTCCCCCGCCACGCCGCGCCGCCTCACCCCCTGTCTGCCCTACGTGCCCCTGCCCCTCTATGGCTCCCTCCTCCTCCCTCTTTCTCCGTCCTTCCTCCTGCTCCTCTCCCCCACACCCGTCCTCCGTGGCCCTCCCCCTCTCGATATCCCTCCCGACTCTGGCGCACGCCCGTCCTCAGTCCCAGTTCTCCGACGTCGTGATTTCTCACGACGTCGACCCCCAGAGATCTGGACCGCTTCCCAGTGACCAATTGTTTTATCCCGAGCTCTCTCTTGACGGTCCCGGGGACCTGCCCCCGGAGGCCGAAGATTGCCAAAAACAGTCCGCCGTGATTTTTCGCCCTGAGACCCTGAGATCCGACGGCGGGCCAATGTTGAGCTACACGGTCAATGCCTCGCTCTCATGGGTGCTTTGCTGTGCTTTTGCTCGTTCGAATTTGTCACGTGTGCGAAGCTACACCTTCAATGCCGCGCTGTCCTGTGGCCTTGCTGTGTTCCTGCTCGCAGCGCGCACCGCCAGAGGCAACGGAGAGCTTCAAGGATGCATCCACGATGGAATAGAAACGCTGTAACTCATCACGGCTGGAGTCCCAGACACCACTTCTCGAGCCGGATCGACCTGTGGGGGGCTCCGGGGCTCCAGGCCCGCCAGCAACGCCTATTTCGGAAAAGCCGAGACTCCAGGATCTCCAGAGAGGAGCTGGGGGGCCTTCGCCCTCACGAGCTCCCGCCCGGCCCTGGCGCACGGCCTCTCGCGCGCGCGTGCGCTGCGACCCGAGCCGAGCTTCGCGAACAGAGGACGGAGCAGAGCTCTGGGCCCTGAGCCTCCTGCGGCGGCCCGAGGCCACCGAGGGTGGATAAGAGGGAGGGCGGGACCCAGACCTCCCCGCGCTGTGAAGAGATCACGGCGGGAGGTGTTTCGCTATTGCTAAGGCCTTATGGCCTGTGCCGCCGACCCTGGAGGCCTCGGCCCTCGACGGACATCTGTAATGTGCGCGGGGGGGGGCCGTTGCCAAGGTGGGTCATTTCTGGCCTAACCTAGCTTACAAGCGGGCTACACATGCCCCAAGTTGGTTGGGGGATTATTCAACTCCGCTAGTGGGAGGAGCCCACTAAGCCTGGATCGCTATCCCCCCCAAGCCACTTGAGGCATTAGCAACCCACGGATGAGATAGGTTAGGCCAGATATAGTCCACCTTGGCATCCACTGATAACCCCCCGATCCCCTTAGCACCCCCCGCGCCCAACCCAGATGGGAGGGAGAGGGCGGGCCATGGGCCCCGGGAGGGTGGTATTCTGACCCGGGACCACCCCCCAGGGACCCCCCCCCCCCTCCGCGAGGAACGGATCAAAGGGAGGGGGGTTCCATTCGACTCAATGACAACGTTGCGTAATTTCGCTGTGGATGGGATGGGCTGGTGTATTTCGCTTTGGCTGGCGTGCTTGAGGACGAGGGCAGAGGAGGGGACGTGATGGCGGCGGCGACTCGACGGCGGCAGCGACGGCGATGGCGACGGAACAGCCCTGTCACACGCCGACAGGGTCGGCGGATTTGTTCTGCCTCTGTGGGCCCTCGCCGGGCATCGGGAGTGCAAGAAAGAAGAAAAGCCGGGTCCAGGCTCCAGGGGATCACGTCATTTAAAAAAGAATCCCGACGTCTGGGGTCTGTGGATGGATGGGGGGTGGAGGATGCAGAGGGGGATCGAGCACCCGAGCTCTTGAAGTCCCGGCGCGCGCGCGTGCGCTTCGAGCTGGGCATAGCGGGGCACCCCGGGAGAGGCTGCTGCTGGACGCCGTGCCGCCGGACGCACCGGTCCAGGACGCCTTTGCGCAGCGAGGGCCCGCGCGCGGCGGTGTCAGACAGCCTGCGCTGCGAACAAGTCGAGACGGGGGCTATTTCACCACGAAGGAACCCACTCGGATGGGCGCGGGAGTTGCTAAGGGTATGCGAGGGCTAGCGGCGGATGCCATGGTGGGCTATATCTGGCCTAACCTAGCTCATCAGTGGGTTGCCAATGCCCCGAGTGGCTTGGGGTGATAGCGATGCAGGCTAAGTGGGCTCCGCCCACTTAGCGGAATTGTCTCATCCCCCTAAGCCATTTGGAGCATGTGTAACCCATGTAAAAGCTAGGGTGCAGCCCCTGTGGCGTCCACTGATCACCCCACATATCCCCTTAGCAACCCCTGCGCCCATCCCAGCAGACATCCGACGCTTCAGGCAACTTGGGGCGGGCGGTTTTGTTAGCAGTCTTGGTCCTCTAGGGGCCCTCGCGGGGACCGTCAAAAAACGACTCGGGACGAAACACTGGCCCTGGGAAAGTGGTCCAGACCTCCGGGGCCCACGCATCCACAAAAATTGGAGCAGCCAGATGTCTGGGAAGCGAGTCCCAAGGGTAACGGATTTGGGTTTTTGTTCTCTCCACTTTGGAGCTTCCCCAGGCCCTCCCCGGCTCCGGGACTGTCCGAAAGCTGCTGGGGAGGATGAAGGTCCGGTCCTGGAGGAGGACCCCGGGGTCCAGGATTTGTTTCCCACAGGACCCGCTTCTTTCATGCTTAGATTCGTCATCCCCAGGCGCCTTCGCGTAGTGAAAAAAACACGACGGGTTTTTTCCACTGTTTTCGGCCTCTCACGGGCTCCGGGACCGTGAAACAACGATTCCGGATGAAAACCCGGTTCCAGGGAAGGGATCCAGACCTCTGGGGGGCGACGTTGTGAACAATCACGACGTCGGGGGTCTGGGTCCCTTTCGGCTGAGGTTGGCCATCTCCCCGATGAATCCCCCTGTCCGATGTTGTCCCCGTCCTGCTCTCGTCCTGCCACTTCCAGGGCTGGTGCCCCCCCCCCCGGCGAGCCGCCGCAGAGGCCGAGGCCTGGGTCGTCACGGCACAGGTCTCCCCCTCCTCTCTTGCGGCGGGGGTCAGGACGGACGGGGAGTCCCCGAGCGTGTTCTGCCGCTCGCAAAGTGCCTTTACCCGCAAACGTCAGAGAAATTCATGTGTGCATAGATGTAATGCATCGTGCGCCCCATCTCGGCGGATCCAGTCCATTTGCGAGTAGTTACTTTGCGAGTAGTGCAACGCGCCTGTCTAGAGGGGGGGGGTCCCAGACATCTGGCGGCGTCTCGGGCCTCGGAGCCGTCAGAAAGAACGGCTCGGGAGTGAAAGCGCGTCCTGGGGACTGCCTTCCATACGTGTCACACATGCACACCTGCCAGGGGTAGGGCGAAGAACCAGAGGCAGTTTCCCCACAGCCACCATTTACGTTCTCCTAGACCCCGTGCTCAATGCATAACTACATTGGCGCCGACTCCCAGGAAGCAGTACCTGACTCTTGCACGGGGCAGAAGGATTAACAGGAGAGGGAGAAGGGAGAGGATGCGGAGGACTAGAGGACGGAGGGATGGAGGGAGGGAACGACGGAGGGAGGGGAAGAGGAGGAGGAGCACGACCAGTGCAAACACAAGACGCATCAACGATGTTGCATTCAACCCTCCTTCACATCTCCGTACAAACATCTTCACTCAAGCATATAATCAAGTTTCTTTTTCACATCTCCATACAAGCAAGAGTACACGTAGCAGCCCGCAGTTGCGGAGGAGAGTGAGGGGGCAGCCGGGTCGTCGGCAGTCTGCGAAGCTCTGAAGCAGTCCGCCTCAGGCGCCGACTTTGCAAACATGGCGCAACGAGCCTGCCGCAGGCGCCGAGTCTTCGTCATATCAATGTAGGTGTGTCGCGGGTGGGTCGCGAGTGGGTCGCGGATGGGTCGCCGGTTGGTCGCGAGTGGGGCGCGAGGTGGGTTGCGGGGTGTGTCGCGGGGAGGGGTGCAGGTGGGTCGCAGGCGAGGACGACAACAACAACTATCATTTTAATGCTGATCGTTCTTATTTGCTCGCGTGTCGTTCAACATGTGTATACCAAACCCGCGACACCGCCCTTTTAGTCTTCGACCATATCACCCTTGGGGGTGTATATTCCCAACCAGCCACGTGTAGTTGGCGCAGCCTCCAGAACAGGGCACGGGAGGGGAGGGCCAAGGCTGAGAGAGAAGCATGGAGCACGACAGAGATGGGCCGGGGGGTGGCAGGAGCAGGAAAACAAGCGGCTGAGCCAGGCAGGTGGGGCGCGGTTCGGGCGGGTGGGCCCAGACGGCGGGGTCGAGCGGGCGAGTCGCTGAAGCGCGAATCCATCCTGACTCGCGAGGCAGTCTCGAGCGATGCTGCGATATCCAAGTCACTCGTGCGGAAGTGCAGGCCCAGCACTCCGGAGAGTTGGGGGCGCGGCGTCTCAATACATTACGAGGAAGTGCCATGCGAGAGCGCGATTCCTGCATGACCCGCGCGAGAGCGCGATTTCGAATACATTGTGAGGAAGTATCATGCGTGAGCTGTTGTTGAGTTCTCATTTCTAAGAAATGATTGTTGTTGATCCCCCCTCCCCGGTAAGCATTACATGTTTCAATTCGCGTGCTTCTCCCGGGGTTCGCCGATGATTGCGCCGATGCTGATCACGCCGATGACGGTGATGGTGTCTTCGCGTCGGTGACCGAAGTTTTGGAAAGAGTTCGACGTGCGCGCGCGACCGACGCGGGCAAGTGGCCCGCGTGGTTTTTGTTGACAGGAACCGTGCTCCCCCCCAACCCCAGCACCAGCGAAAGGGCGTTTGAGTGTTTGAATGTTTTCGACGTGCGGCGCGAGATGACCGCTTGGTCGAATATGATGGACATGGTGACAAACAACCAAGGGCAGCCTCAGGATTTGACAACAGCGCGCAGACCTGTTTGGACAACTGTCGTTGTAATATCATGTTTTCTGTTGCAATATGCGTTCGGTAAGTCGATTTTGAAATCTCTAGGAAGGTGTTCGTCAGATCTCGGCATGTGCGCGCGACTACGCGCGCGTGCGCACTTCGTCCTATCTGTTGCAAGGGATTATTGTGACGGTACGCCCGCAAGGGCGTTCGAGCGAATTTGGCATGCGCGCGACGGGCAGGTTTGGTAGAATTTGGTGGACATGTTTGAAATCCATGGTTTGCTTAGGAATTCGAAAAAAGCGCAAGCGCATGTTTTTTGTCTCAACGATCCTGTTGCGAAACCATTGGTTTGTTGTATGTTTCGGTGCACTCGACGCTGGGAACCTGACGAAACTCTAAGTGTTGAAGGCTTCTGGCATGCGCGCGCGACGACGCGCGCATGTCATGTTTTTTATTAGGGAGTCTTGGAAACTGATGATTCTTGAGTAACCGAGTGCGCGTGCATATGGTTCTGCAGAGGATAGGGGTGGGTCGATGAGGGACTGCCCAGAATGGCATGGATTCAGATTTAGCATAATCAAAGACGAAACGAATATTCGAATTTACTTACGTCTGGGACGCGGAATGTAGATGCTAGATCATGACACTTTGTTCGTAACGGAGAATCTAGGTTGTGATCTATATATATATATAAATATGTGTATATACGTTGTGCGACCTACGAGGTGCAACCTGTATAGTACAATGTACTGTGAGTTCCAGGTGGTTCATTGTAATGTTTCCGGACCTGTTCGGTTCGGTCTGGTTCGGCGCGGCTTCGCGTCGATTCGGCCAGTCCGGTTCAGATCGCCGTCCGGTTCGGTCCAGCCGGTTTTCTTCGAGTCAACTAGCCGGTCTTGGCCGGTCCCGTTCAGCCGTTGAGTTCGGACGTTTCGGTCCGCTTCGGCCAGTTCGGTTCGGCCGAGGGGCTCCTGTTCGGCCGGCGCGGTTCGACCGATGCATCCCAACGCCCCCCGAAACTTGCCAGGGTGGAGGACGGCGAGGTGGGTGGGAGGACGAGGAGGAGGAGGAGGAGGAGGAGGAGGAGGAGGAGGAGGAGAAGGAGGAGGAGGAGGAGGGGGAGGATGGAGAGGAGGGGGAGGGGGAAAAAGTCCCCGGGTCCATTGGAGTTTCTAGAATCTGCCGAGATTTCTGGGAATCTTTGAGAGCGTGGTAATATGTGGGAGTCAAGCCCCCCCAAACGGGGGGCTGGATGCTGGCACCCGAGGGGGGGAGGATGCCGGCCGCTCCAGACTAGATGCGTACGGTTGGGGGTCGACCTTCAAAGGGTTTGAAGAAGGAGCCGCTCTCTTTCAAACTCCCCTTCGCTCCTCCGTTCCCTCCCTCTTCTCCACGCGTCTTGCTCTTCCTTCTCGTCCTCTTCCCTCTCCCCCTCTTCCTCCTCCTCTCCATCCCATTGGAGGCGAATCAATCATGTATTCCTTCTAGTGACGGTTGGGCACCAGAAGAATCGCAAGGAGCAAAACGAAACAAAGAAATTGAAGACAGACGGCTGAAACATAGAAAGATAACACATAATCAGCGCAAGATTGAGTTCACCCCGTTTCCCCCGCCCTCCCGTTTCTCATTCCTCCTCCCCCCCCATATTTTTCCTCCCCGCCCGCCTCCTCTTCCCCCCCCCACTGTTCCTCGTCCTCCTCACGCCTCGCTGTCCTCCGTCCTCCTCCTCCCCTTCTGTCTCCTCGTTATGGGGGGAGAGGAGGGAGGAAGGAACAGCAGGGATGTGCGAAGGAAAGCAGGGACGAGGAGGAGGAGGAGGAGAAGGAGAGAAAGGCGGGGAGGCTGGGGGCAAAGGGAAAGGAGGTAGCATAGGTGTTCGTTTTTGTTGTGGTTGTTCCGTATGTTTTTTTGGTGCCAGTTTTGTCAGCCGTCGGTCGTTGGCGTTCTGTGTGGTTTCTTGCTGCTGGTGTTGCTGGTGGTGTTTTTGCTGTTGTTCTTGTTTTTTTGTTGACAGCGTCGTGTTGTTGCTGCAACGGTTGCTGCTGGTGGTGTTGATGTTGTTGTTGATGC